CACTCAGTACCAAAAACCTATAAAGAAAACACTTTCTGGTGACTGTCATACACACTGCTGTTACACACTCAGTACCAAAAACCTATAAAGAAAACACTTTCTGGTGACTGTCATACACACTGCTGTTACACATTCAGCAACCAAAACCTGTAAAGAAAACACTTCTTACTGATTGTCATATACACTCCTGTTACACATTCAGCAACCAAAACCTATAAAGAAAACACTTCTTACTGATTGTCATATACACTCCTGTTACACATTCAGTAACCAAAACCTATAAAGAAAACACTTCCTAGTGACTGTCATACACTGATGTTATACATTCAGTAACCAAAAGCTATAAAGAAAAGAATTCCTAGTGACTGTCATGCACACTGGTGTGAAGAGCCAAGAAACACAGAAACATACCTTATATAAAATATATATATATATATATATATATACATCTCCAAGCATTATTTATGCCTTCAGAGAACACAGTGTGATATAATGGCACCTTTAAACCAATAACATAATTTGTGTATAAATCTCCAAGCGTTATTTTATAGCTTTAAAAGAAGACAGTGTGATATAATGGCACCTTTAAACCAATAACATAATTTGTGTATAAATCTCCAAGCGTTATTTTATAGTTTTAAAAGAAGACAGTGTGATATAATGGCACCTTTAAACTAATAACATAATTTGTGTATAAATCTCCAAGCATTATTTTATAGCCTTAAAAGAAGACAGTGTGATATAATGGCACCTTTAAACCAATAACATAATTTGTGTACAGATAATGTGTATTTGGGCAAGCTTCTAGCACCAATCATAGACTTGACATTCAATAATAATAACTTCTGGTACACTTTTTGTCGTATTTTTATTTAAATAATGAGTAAAATATATGTTACAAAATATGAGTTTTCATGAAAAACTCATCATGCTGAAATACTTATTATCCCGATTCTTCGAAAAAAAGAAAAACTTTTCACAGTCTTTGAACATACATGTACATTTAAAAACATATATTACATTAATTCTGATTGAAAGGGAACAAAAAGGGGGGAGCCAAGCATGGTTGGATAAAAGTGGCAAAATATTACAGAAGCAATTTCATCATATATTCTTCCAACATATAAACAGATCACCAAAAAATTACAATCCTTGAATTTGGGTAACACATCCAGCAGTCAGTCTGAAAAACAATCAACTATCAGCAAAAAAATTATAATTAAATTCATATCTTAAAAAAATTACCCAAAGAATAAAGTAAAAATAAAAACAAAAAACATAGAAAACTGGATTCTTAAAGAGGGAGGGGGGGGGAAGACTGTTGATTTACAATACACATTCACCCTGGGAATTCTAAGTAATTCTAGACATATGCACATATGAAAATATTAAACAGAGAAAAGATATTAAAACTCTCCATGACTTGTGGCATAGGAAACAGAGTGAAAAGAACAAGACTAATCTGAATTACAAAACTACACTGCTGGAGTAGAAAATACCTATCAAATTTACACGTTTTTTTTAAAAACTATCTTCTACTATTTATACATGTGTATAGCCCTTGAAAGAAACGTACAACACAATCGTAAACACTACGTCTTTTGAGTCCAAACTCCAACATCGCTGTAAGATTCAAAAGGATTCTGAAGGTTTGTGTTATGCTACTTAAACCGTTCTTTCCATTGAAAGACTCTTCCCTTGTTCAGTGTTCTCTATTTTAATGTGTATTTCTTCAAACGAGTGTTGCTACAAGCAGTAGTTTAACTGTTATCCTCAAAAGCTCACGTCTTGTATTTGGCAGAATGGCTGTTACATATGACAGTTTAATTACATAATTAAACACTCTATAGACAAATGTCCTTCGGTCTATCATGCTCTGTATCTCCTGAATGGATAATTATAGAAAAAAATTATATATCAAATGTTTATTTTCAAGAGTGCAATAAAAGAAAATGATTCATTTTCTCTGCAATTCCCTGAAATTTCACATTGCTTCGTCAGTCTTTATACGTACTGAATAGTCAATCTGACAAAAACTTATTATGAGCAAAAATGTTTCTTTTTTTGTGAGGGACTTTCACAAAAAGAAATGGGACTTCCTTCATTGACTGAAGATAGAATGGAAAAGACGCATAAAGACAGGTACATGTTTCACCATATATCTGTTGTTGTTTAGTTTATATACAAATATAATTTTGTTTCATGTTAGTATTATATATATATGTATGATTTTGTTGTACCATATCAAATAAATATCAACTGAATTGAATATATCCCCTTTGACACTTCTTATAGAAACGACAACTGTGCTCACTTTGATAGCTGTCTTTTCTTGCACTCAATAAAATGACAAGGAATGGCAGCATCCAGGGGAGAAAATCCCCATGGTTACTTGGTGAACCTCAGTGCTCTATTGGGCTGGATACACTCGTCGCATTAAAACTTATAAATTTTTTTACTTACAATGTACTGCAGTCAGTTTCATTTGGTTAAAAAAAAATGTAGTGTAATTTTTGTTATTGAAATAACACATGGAATGACAAAAGACGGTTATAAACAGCCCACCAGATAATTATCTTGCATATACGCTCTGATCCAAGGGATTGGGTTGACTGCACGTTTAATATTTATTCATCACTATTTTTAGGAAAATTACTGTTGAATTGTTTCAATTAGCAATTGCTAGCAATGATATAGATATAGATAATTTTAAAGTGAAATACTCGTATTGAATTTTAAACTTTATGCGGGACTAAACTGATTTTGAATATTTGACAACATTTACCAATATTACATGATCTCCTGAATCACATTCTATTCTATGTATAAAAAATATATATACTTTTATGCGTATTTGATATTCTATTTTAAAAGCTTTGTAGCCTTAGACTATCATAGGCAATATCCTTCCGGAAACAAAGACACACAATGAACAAAAACATTTTAGCGGTGAGTTTAAAAATGATATTTTGCTGTTTCTAATGCCTAAAAAAATGTACTGATAATACTAGTGAAAAGAACAGATTATTGTGTTCATCTCACAAAGTTACAGAAGGTAAGAAAAGCCTACATCACTATTTGTATGCATGTGAATGTTGTACTTACATGTGAATTTCTGAAAGACATTTCACACATAAACTAAATGAGTTTGTCATTTTGTATGATAATGAAATCAGTTCAAACGATAGAAAGCAAAAAATACAACTTACTTCAAAATTTAAATCTCAGTATCTGAAATGTGTCTTAACCTTAACTTAGAACACAGAATTCTTGATAACAGAAGTATTATTCAGAATTTTACAAATTACATTTCAAAGATAACATTTCTTACAAAATCAGAAGCTTCCAACTGAGTAGGGCAGGCCAATACCATAATTTATGTAAGCTTTTCAGTCCACCCAATAAGACTGTTATTTTTTATTAGCTACGACGATGACATCTTCTAGCAAGTTCCACTGATAATCTTTCTTCGACCTAAGCTCAGGATATTTATTGAAAACACAATCCATATCATAAAGTAGAACAAAGTTCGGCATGCGAACAAGTAACACTAGAGAACGTTAGTTGTTTAAGTTATAGTGCAATTATGTTGACAAATATAACAAGACAATCTGTTTTTTTCTTATGTGTCTACAATTCACACAATAAAAAAATGAGAGTTTAATGCCTTTTCATAAAATTTCTATTAATTCAGTCAAATAGACTTCTAAACTATTATACGAGAATGAAAGCAAAGGAAAAACATTAAATAGAATTATTATATATGAGCAATAAATAATCGTTTATTAAAGAAACATTTGATTTTGACTTATAAGTAAAGTTAGAAACATTATTTAAGAAAATGCGAGTTCTTACTGGAGAAGCAGGATAGTAAAAACTTAAATAGATATTAACAAAAATATCTCATTCAATTGTAAAATTGTCTTGCAAGATTTTTCACCTAAAGTAAGTTCCAATTAATCATTAGATTGTTACTGTTGCTTACTTTCATTAATATATACAATGAAAGATTTCAGCAGAAAATGTAAAAACATTTCCTAGATTACAAAATTACCCACCTTCACTTCGAGTAAGTGTATGCCTAACCCTAACTATCATTCAACAACTGCTAAATGTAGCATGAAAAACAAATAAATTTAAAAGTGGTAACAAAACATGTTTGCTTAAAAGACATAGGTATATGTAAAGGGTTGCAAGACAACTAGAGCACTGCGAAACTGTCATCCTCGTATACCAGATGGATTATGGAAAGCTGCAGGGAGGAGTAATGTGCTTTGGGCATAACAGCCTTATGACGGAGACTTTTACAATGAAAACTGTGTTGCATGGTTATTGTCAAGATGGAAGCTGTCAGATAGAGCAGGACCAGACATGGCAACATGTAATGTAAAGAATGTGATTAGGGTAAAAATCATTTTAACATATAACATACTCAACTTCCATATATTCTCAAACAAAAAGCAAGAAAAGATATTAATCGTAACATTAAAATCAGGCAAAAATAGAACTCCAATTTCTTAGAAGCAGAGTAAATTAACTTAACTATGTTATTTTACATAAACACGCTGGAAAACATTTAAGGTGGGATGATACATAAAACAGCAAGAATTTATAACAGTAACACAGAATTATATAATTTTTTCCTTATTTAACAACATCTTTGAACCTCTTACGGTACTTACAGGTGACACTTTAGGTTTCTAGATAATAAGCCTTAAATTTCACATATCTAAAGTATCTCTCATTCAGAATTTTATTCTTCCAAACTACCTTCTTGTCAAGTAGTAAGTAATTTCACAGGCTCAGGACATTTAACAGGCCCAAAGGAGCAAGGAGGAGGTCAGGTTAAATCACAGCTAAAGGTGATGGAAGAAACTTCATTCATTTTTCTGACAATACAACTCCTTGAGAGATTTCAATTCTTCAATGAGGGCCTTATTCTGATTCTCGAGGACAGCCACTCTGTTTTCCAGGCACTTAATATATTCTTTCTTCTTCCTTCGACATTCTTTTGCTGCTTCTCTGTACAAAAACAACAGTTGATAGTCATATATTTTTTAGCTTAATAATTTCATCGTGGCACTCGTTAAAACTACCTAATAATTAGAAAGAGTATATTGAATGTTAGTTTTACTGAAAATACAAATTCTTAGTGTTTCTACTGTAGAACAGAGAAAAAACGAAAGTATTAGTTTGCCTCAGTCTTGGGCCCAGTGGTTAGTGTGTCGAACTGTCAATCCAAGGTTCCGTTGTTCGTATCCCATTACTGTCAAAGAAAAACACTTTGGGGCCATAAAGTTGTTATAAGAGTGATGTTCAAATTTAACTACTAGATTAGAGTATCCCACAAGTATGCAGTGGGTTGTGTTGACTATCAGCTGTCTCTCAGATAGCCCTCAAGTAGCTTTGCACGAAATTCAAAAACCAAAAATCCTTATCCTTTATATAAACTATTGAAAGAAGAGTTAGTTTGTATATGAAGTTTTTTTTAAGTCCGGTCCAACCTGGGAGCTTGATTATCAGAACAATATAAGTAGTTAAACTAGCTATACAAAACTGGATTCATATCAGTTATCAATGCATGCTATTCTTGATGTTTATCTCATATGCATGTAGTTCTATCTTCATATTTAAACAGTAAAAAAATATATATTTTGATACTTTCCTAGTTTCAAAAATATCACAAACATAAACACCCAAATATGTAGTAACTTCAACTGATTACTTCATAAAAGAAGTGTTGCCATATTTCATCTCTGGTTTCACATTGGTGGATGAAACAGTACAGGGTGTTCCTGGTGGCTCAGTGCTAAATCTGAGGGCTTATAACATTAAAAATCTGGTTTCTATACACATGGTGGGCAGAGCACAGATAACCCATTGGGTAGCTTCCTGCTTAATAATGAACAAGTAAACAGTACAGTAACACCGAAACTTTAATATTTATATCCTTTTAGTTCACCATGAAACAAATAGTAAACCTAATAAATTATAACAAAATAGATACTTTCACCATTTTCACAGAAATGTAACTCATATGATAATTTTTTATAAAGCATGTATTTTGCTATGACTCACAGCTAAGCTCTGTCAAAGCAGCATGACAGGAAAGGTCGTATTATCACCAACAGGGAGGACAAGTAGAAGACTAGGTGTTTAAAGATTTGACGCATTACATACTTTAAAGTAATACATCACTTTAAAGTATGTAATGCATTATTGATGCACACTTTAAAGTAATGCATTACATACTTTATAGTGGTACATTACATACTTTATAGTGATGCATTACATACTTTAAAGTAATGCATTACATACTTTATAGTGGTACATTACATACTTTATAGTGGTGCATTACATACTTTAAAGTAATGCATTACATACTTTATAGTGGTAAATTACATACTTTATAGTGATGCATTACATACTTTAAAGTAATGCATTACATACTTTATAGTGGTACATTACATACTTTATAGTGGTACATTACATACTTTATAGTGATGCATTACATACTTTAAAGTAATGCATTACATACTTTATAGTGGTACATTACATACTTTATAGTGGTACATTACATACTTTATAGTGATGCATTACATACTTTATAGTGATGCATTACATACTTTAAAGTAATGCATTACATACTTTATAGTGGTACATTACATACTTTATAGTGACGCATTACATACTTTATAGTGACTGCATTACATACTTTATAGTGGTACATTACATACTTTATAGTGACGCATTACATACTTTATAGTGACGCATTACATACTTTATAGTGGTACATTACATACTTTATAGTGATGCATTACATACTTTATAGTGGTACATTACATACTTTATAGTGGTACATTACATACTTTATAGTGGTACATTACATACTTTATAGTGAAGCATTACATACTTTATAGTGATGCATTACATACTTTATAGTGGTACATTACATACTTTATAGTGACGCATTACATACTTTATAGTGATGCATTACATACTTTATAGTGGTACATTACATACTTTATAGTGACACATTACATACTTTATAGTGGTACATTACATACTTTATAGTGGTACATTACATACTTTATAATGACACATTACATACTTTATAGTGGTACATTACATACTTTATAGTGGTACATTACATACTTTATAGTGATGCATTACATACTTTATAGTGATGCATTACATACTTTATAATGATGCATTACATACTTTATAGTGATGCATTACATACTTTATAGTGACGCATTACATGCTTTATAGTGACGCATTACATACTTTATAGTGACGCATTACATACTTTATGGTGATGCATTACATACTTTATAGTGATGCATTACATACTTTATAGTGACGCATTACATGCTTTATAGTGACGCATTACATACTTTATAGTGACGCATTACATGCTTTATAGTGACGCATTACATACTTTATAGTGATGCATTACATACTTTATAGTGATGCACTACATACTTTATAGTGACGCATTACATACTTTATAGTGACGCATTACATACTTTATAGTGATGCATTACATGCTTTATAGTGATGCATTTATACTGAAGGAGTAGCTTAGTTCTTCTAAAAAATAAACCTTTTTTCCCAACCATTCAACTAATTTTGATCCTGTATTTGTGACACAATGATTATTTCAGATAAAATTAACCATGATACAGATTTATAATGGGATATTTACATGAACGTTACTAATCATGATTTATTAAATGAAACAAAGTTATAATTCTGACATGAAAAATAACCTTGATTTTGGTATTTTATTGATAATAGTTTTCCCAAATCAAGAATCCTCGAACAATAATGATGTCAACAGCGAGATAGATTTTTAAATTATAGTAATCTAGTCCTCAAGAATAGTAGGTTTGAGAACTTAAGTGGACTGTAGCTGCCTGTTGAATGAAAAGAACCACGTTCTTGTGTCAATATCTGAAACTGGTCGGACCATAACATAAAGATGTAGCAAGGCCAACGCGTGTGAATAAACTGGCCTTGGCTAAGCCTAACTACACAGAATAACATATGATAAAGTGAGATCAATATAGAATTCTAGACAAAGCTTGGCTAAGTCTAACTACACAATATAACATATCATAAAGTGGGATCAACATAAATTTCTAGACAAGCTTGGTTAAGCTTAACTACACAGTATAACATATCATAAAGTGGGATCAACATAGAATTCCAGACAAAGCTTGCCTAAGTCTAACTACACAATGTAAATTATCATAAAGTGGGATCAACATAGAATTCTAAACAAGGCTTACCACTGGAGTCTTACTGACAACACCTGCTAGTCACTACACAGTTTGGAGTTTTACTATAAGCCACATTTAGCTTTTTAATAACTACAGTGATCTGAAGAAGGTCTTGTTATAGAAGCCAAAACATCGTCCCTTTCCATTCAACGGGCAGCTGAAGTCTATGAATGTTCTAAAACCTACTATATCTTCTCTGCCTAAAGTTCCACTGAAACAACAGCCCTCAAGACTGCTTGCTTAGAATTCCCTTTGTTAGTTAACAATAGTATTAAAATACATAACCAGATTTACTAAGATCACTCTCTGCTAGCTGAAACAAGAAAAATCAGAAAAAAAATGTCAAAGCTGGTAATTTATTCCTCTGAAAGAAGTCACTTTAAAAGTTTATGAAATAGTAACCTATTTTTTAGAAGTCTGTGTTCCCTTCGCCGTGACGTCTCTTCTGCTAACTGTTGGGGATTTTGGATGGTTGAAGCTGGTGTCATGACAACACCTTGGGGGAGCCCAGTGCTTGTGGTCACTCCTGCTGTCCTGATCTGATAGGCCTGAAGGTCAGCAGCTGACAAGGTAACTGGATTTCATTCGGGAGAAAAAATCAAAGTATACTCATGCACATGTAATTATACACACACATATAAATATAATCCAAAACAAAGCATATTCAAGCAAATCCGAGTTTATCATTATGTTTCAACAGATGAAACTGAAGCACTTGCCATTGCCTGGTCTTTCTAGCCATGTTTGTTTTAGATCAAATATACAAGTTACATTTTTTAAAAGTTAAAACCAAATAAAATCTAATGTTATTACGATGCAACTTTTCTTGTTATCCTGTATTTTATAGAGTTTTAATTTTCAAGTCAAACTTTAAAAGAAATATATCCTATGTTAATCTTGTACTAGTCAGATTGACCCTTAAAGCAGACTGACCAGACTAAGATGTTCCTTACAAGGCTGGCACTAGTGGGGTGCTAGGGTTCTCTCAAGTTTCACTCTAATGGTTTAATAAAATCATATTATCAATTTAAAAAAAAACTCTAAGAAGAGTCAATATAACTGTAATACCCCCCCCCCCCTCAAAGTAAGAGTAGCTGAAGCAAGGCCTGTTTCTTTACTTTTAGTTATGTTAATATAAACTTAGCTAACATATTACAAATGTAGACATTACTAATGTGGTAAACATTTTTATCTAAATGTGATTAAAGTATAAATAGTAATATCTAACTAACAGTACTTTGGTATAGTTTATCAGTGCACAGTTTTTATAGCAATTCACAGTAAAAAAATGCCCTTGGAGATGTTAGAGTTTTCTAGTCAGCCTGGCCGGACCTTTTGAATATAGCCTATTTTTCTCATCAGAATAATCTACTGTACTTCAATCTTGAATAATTATGAAAAAATAGAATATTAAGCATGTGATTTATACTTTTATAACTGTTGTTCATCCATTTATACATCATATGGCCCATTTCTATGGCTATTAAAAAATCTTTCAATGTTTTAAAATTATTTTTTTACACATGTGCAACAGTAGCATCATCAATGTTAAACAGAAGAAGAAAAAACCTTTCATGTGCAACAGTACCATCAACAATGTTAAACAGAAGAAGAAAAAACCTTTCACTGTGCAACAGTACCATCAACAATGTTAAACAGAAGAAGAAAAAACCTTTCACGTGCAACAGTACCATCAACAATGTTAAACAGAAGAAGAAGAAAACCTTTCACGTGCAACAGTACCATCAACAATGTTAAACAGAAGAAGAAGAAATCTTTCACGTGCAACAGTACCATCAACAGTGTTAAGCAGAAGAAGAAGAAGAAAACTTTTATGTGCAACAGTACCATCAACAATGTTAAACAGAAGAAGAAAATGTGTTTTCTACCTGGAACCAAAAACTGCTGGCCATCTTGACCCTGAGCATATTGAACAATGGTCCCTGTAGCTGCAGTGCCAGCATTGGTCATAGTCAGTGTCTGCAATCCCTGGAGGGTGCCATCCTGTGAGCCCGTGGCCAGCTGAATGGCTGAAGCTGGAACTACTTTAAGTGCAAGAACAAATTAGGCAATTGTTTAAAGTAATAATGCTTACATTAATATCTTAACTGGCTGTGAAATTAAAACTTTCTGTAACATATACCATTACATTAGTAAAACCCTTTGTGTAGGACATGAATATTCTTAACATTAATTAACAGCTTGGAATACATAATATGTTAATGACACTACAGTATAATACTTGGAATACATAATATGTTAATGACACTACAGTATAATACTTGGAATACATAATATGTTAATGACACTACTGGATTATGCTTGGAATACATAATATGTTAATAACACTACAGGATAATGCTTGGAATACATAATATGTTAATGACACTACAGTATAATACTTGGAATACATAATATGTTAATGACACTACAGTATAATACTTGGAATTCATATTACATTAAAAAAAGTATAGGTTAATAGTTGGAATCTATATGAATATGATAGTACTGTCTGTTATCTGTTGTATGTCCATGTAACTACTTTGCAGGGTGGGGGTGGATCCTCACCAAAATTGGTATGGAGGTTCATTACATCCATACAGGGATGCAAACAAATTTTCAGTTTTGCATTTTGCGGTTTTTATGGCCATTTTTGTGGATGGATCTTCACCAATTTTGACATGAAGGTTTGTTGGGTACATGCGAAGATACACGCAACCTTCCAGTTTCACGTTTTATTTTACAGATATTTACAAAAAATTTCTTTGTTTGTTGTTAAGCACAAAGGAACACAAAGGAATGTCAGTGCTGTGCCCATCGTGAGTAATGAAACCAAGTATTATATGCCTTCAAACTTGCAGCTGAGCCAGTGGGGGGATATTTAGAAAGGAAATAGGATTAATAGTAGCAAATATTTTGTTCTGATTATCTAATTACATTAATATCCTACCCAATTATTATAAAACATTAATAGCCTATTCTACTCCCACTCCTGAAGTAACTTACCCTTCAACAAACCTTGTGCAGTGTGATATTGTGTTCCTGCAACTGTGATAGTGTTTGATGCCAATGCCGTGCTGGTGTCTGACTCGTGAATGTTGTCGCCTCCTGTTCCACTTTCTTCTTTCACCTCAACATTGGTGCCAAGAGAAACTACAGGTTCTGTAGATGAAAGTTCGTTCAGTATTTTACGATAGGAAGGACGCCTAGCAAGGATTTCTCTTCTCTTCCTCGATTCGTCTTCTGCAGTGCTTAATGCGAGTGTGATTCCATCGCCATCACAACCATCCCCCTTGGCTGTTGTGATGAGCTGCAACATCACAACATCAAATCTATAATTATCTATATTCAAGTACGGGTTGGTTTGATCTTGACAATGATAACAAGAAATATTAACTTAACTGCCTCTAGCACCCATGTGATACAAAATAATATTCATATGAAATTTATATTTTGATTTGTTAAAGGTTTGGATGTTGTTAAGCACAAAACTACAGATATTTGTGGTATACTCACCACAAGTATCAAAACCTGATTCAACCAATGTATTCAATAAAATAAGATTATATAAAACCTGATTCAACCAATGTATTCAATAAAATAAGATTATACAAAACCTGATTCAACCAATGTATTCAACACATTGGTTGAATCAGGTTTTGTATAATCTTATTTTACTCAACAAAATAAGATTATACATAAAACAAGAACTTGCACGAAAACATACACTCATCTACTAATATATGATATTTCTTCCATACAATTAGCTCACTTTTCATTCAAGTTTATAAAAAATAGATGTTATAAGTATTTATTATTAAAGGAAATATTAAATAATACTGGATCAAATTTTTTCCAGACTACTCAAACAAAATTTACGTATTTCAGGACTCTAAAATTGGATTGCTAAAATTACAAGCCATATACAAACCTTGTTTACTAATACTTTTTGATATAAAAAAGTATACAATATGATTACAAATTGTTCAATTAAAATGTAGTTCAGCTTACAAGTTGTTTAATTCAAATGTAATTCAGCTTACAAACTGTTTAATTAAAATGTAGTTCAGCTTACAAATTGTTTAATTCAAATGTAATTCAGCTTACAAATTATTTAATTCAAATGTAATTCAGCTTACAAATTGTTTAATTCAAATGTAATTCAGCTTACAAATTGTTTAATTCAAATGTAATTCAGCTTACAAACTGTTAAATTAAAATGTAGTTCAGCTTATAAACTGTTTAATTAAAATGTAGTTCAGCTTACAAACGTTTAATTCAAATGTAATTCAACTTACAAATTGTTTAATTAAAATGTAGTTCAGCTTACAAACTGTTCAATTCAAATGTAGTTCATCTTACAAATTGTTTTTCTGATAAACATCTTATGTTTTAACAGATAAGAAACATTTAATACATCATGTGATGTGATAGTAACATAAATCAATTGTTTAATTAAAATGTAGTTCAGCTTACAAACTGTTCAATTCAAAGGTAGTTCATCTTACAAATTGTTTTTCTGATAAACATCTTATGTTTTAACAGATAAGAAACATTTAATACATCATGTGATGTGATAGTAACATAAATCAAATGTTCAATTCAAATGTAGTTCATCTTACAAATTGTTGGTCTGATAAACATCTTATGTTTTAACAGAAAAGAAACATTTAATACATCGTGTGATGTGATAGTAACATAAATCTTGATATTTAAAAGATACTAAAAACCTCACAAGTTGTTTTATATCACTACTTTATTGTAATCCTGACTTTTTAATGTGTACTTGTAGCTTAGCCACTTTTAATATCCAAAAATATTGGTGAATCAAGAAACATTTACCTGAACAGGATGGACGCCTCCATCCCCCTCGGCACTGTGAATAACTGATCCCTTGTTTAACAGGATCACATTCTTTCCCAGCTATGATGGAAAATATCCATAACAGTTAATTTTAACTCAATTAAAATAGATTTTTAGTATCATCAATAGAAAATTGGGATCGAATACTATAAATCTTATTCTGACAAGATGCATTGTTTGTAAGTATAATTATATCTAAAACTCAATCATGTCTTACAATTATATTCAAATGTTTCCATTTCAAAATCTTAGAAGGAATACACTAAATTATGTATATACATAAAATTTTGATGTATCTAAAACTGCAGAATATACACACTTGTTGAATTCTGTTCCTTTTGAAATATAATGCCAATACCTTAACCTTAACACTATTATATCACCCTAGTTGGTGTGTTTAGTTTTAACACAGTACAACTTGCTTAGCCTGATGATTGAATGGATACTTTTGAATAGGAACAGAAGTTTGAAACATACCAAAACAGCTTGAATTTTTTTTAAATATTGAAAATAAAAAACATTCTAACTACACTTTGCTTTCATCTAGCTACATCCATGTGTTTTATATAAACTTTGCTTTCATCTAGCTACATCCATGTGTTTTATATAAACTTTGCTTTCATCTAGCTACATCCATGTGCTTTATATAAACTTTGCTTTCATCTAGCTACATCCATGTGTTTTATATAAACTTTGCTTTAATCTAGCTACATTCATGTGCTTTATATAAACACAAAAAGACTCGGTTATTAAACTAATTCCACATTCCTGATTAATGAATGTTTGCCAAATTGTCACAAAAATTAGATAAAACTATCACATTAAGCATGTACTGGTGAAATTAAAATAGTTATGGTTACACTATGACTTTATCATAACTTATGAAACTTGCCTAACAATTCAGAAGAGTAAGTGTTTGAGATATTTAAATATTCTTTAAATGACAAAAAGCTTGAAAGTTCTTAGCCCACAGTTTTATGTAATATTGAAGATCTTGCTAACAGACTAAATCTAATAATTTGATCTAAATTAAAGTACCTTTACTTCCCCTTTCCAAATGTCTTTCAGTTTATAATATTTCTCTAATAATAACTTCTTTTATCAATAATATATATATATATACATACATACTCTGCTGACGTAACGTATGTAAAAAAGATATTTTTATAGTCAATCTTACCGACTGTAGTCCAGTTCCTCCTGGTGCTTGTATTACAGACTGCTGGTTAGGTTGAATAACAGACTGTACGTGCATTGGTTGAGTGCCACTAGGGATAGAAACGTGCACTATGGAAACGGCACCTCCAGGTTGAGGTACAGCGATGGCCTGGGTCGTTGAAGACACCGTTGTGGCAATCTAGTGTAATACTAAAGTTAGTATAATACCTATGAAGAAAACATTAGGTTCACAATGAATAATATTTCATAAAAATGCAGGGGGGGGGGGCTTATAACGTGATGCTCTATCCTACTATTCGACTAGAGTAGCCCAAGAGTTGGAGATGGATGGCATTGACTAGCTACTTTACCTACAGCTGTTTTACAATGATACTGTGAACTAAATATAAGATAACAAAATAAATACATATAATCATAATATACAGAAAGGTAGCTGCAAGTAGGGCTTGCTGGGGCCGAAGCAAACCTAAAATGGGCCTTAACCTTCTCTGTAACCCCTACAACTAAAGAATAATGCTCAGTATTAAAATTAGTTCACTTCCTAAGTATTACAGTATGTGTGTCCACAAGATTTAGAGTGCAGCCTCTTCATTTTTTTTAGCTTGCTTCATCCCTCCCACCAGGAATAAGCTGGCACCACCCCTGTATATATATATATATATATATACATGTATATATGTACACACACACACACATACATATAGTGTATGTTCACTTAGACAACAGAGTATAATAATACTATCACAATAAATCACTGAATTATTAATGTCTCTAAAACACTACCAGATGGAAAGAATTTTTTGTTAATTGACATGCAATTTGATCAAGCTGCAACAAACCTCTCAAACAGAAACTAGCTAATCCTTAAACAAAAAACACAGTAGTAAAGTGTGATACAAAAGTTTATTTAAATGATATTTTGTTATTCAGACACTACTAATAAAAAAAAGTCAACAACACAATTTTAATTTGTTTAACTTTGACAAAGATTTGGTTTTAATCTTTTTTATAATTCTGAAGACATGTTAATACTTAAAAGATAACAAGACATATTTTGTAAAATCAGTCTGATTACAGGGAAGCTGTCCCCATTTGGTAACTTCTTTTAAAATATGGTACAGCACAGTTTTTCACGATTAAAAAATCAGCACGTGTTTTGATAAATCTTACACTCAAATGGGATGCCACCTGGTTGGAATTATGATTATTTAATATAAATAATTTGTGTTAGTTCCCAGAATAAATTATCTTCCCTGAATTGTCCTTTTAGACTGTGGAACTGCAAGTTGTTCCAGTTTAACCGTTTTGGTAATAAATTATCAACTTTTTACTTCACAGTACATTTGTGAGTCATCTGTCAATACCTGGAAAACCAGGTGATATCTTCTAAACAATACGTTTGACTCTAGAGCCTCTGACGTGTTTGAGCCATCACCTTGCTAATTCTGTTATTCAACATGCTGCAAAGATTGGTGTGAAGAAAAACATCAAAGTTTATCAAATAAACCATCAACAATATAAGTACTCACATTTTTCTCCGATGCACGTGGCATAAGCAGTATTGTTCCATTGCCTCTGACCTGTGTTCCTGAGACAAGGGAGCTGGCTGAAAGTATTCCTGTAGGTTGAGCTGTTCCATTTTGACCAGTCTGATTAGAGGATGTTGTGGCCCGATCAATGGCCGATTGTGAGGAAGACACTGCAACAGAAATCTGTTCCTCTACTAAAGTATCCATGGCATTCTGTAACAAAGTTAAACAGTAATGATTATAGGATTAATAAAATTCTCAATTTATTATTAATATATGTTATTTAGAATGTGCAGAGGACATTGGCAATGGTTTTATAATCTTTTTTAAACTGTATTTTTCCTAGGTTGAATAAATAATATAATATTGAAAAGAAGGGATGAAAATTAAATAAAAAAATATCAAAAGCTAAAAGACAGTCTATGTGACAGAATGGTAGTTAGTATAGATTAAGTAGTACATTCACGTCATAACTTATCTACTTACACTGGTTGTCAGTAAAGAAATTTAAATTGTATTGAACATTTTACAAAAATATACTCTGACTGTCCAAACTGCTACATACATTATTTGAAGTTCTGGCAGCATCAAACCAGTGCTGTAACCATTTAGAAAATGATTAAAAGTAAAATACTTCAAAACTCCACCTGTGAAGCATAGAATAAACAAACAAAAGAGACAAGGACAAAATTTGTTTTTGTTTCAAACTCAAATAAAAAAAGAACAAAATACTAAAAAATTTAAATTTTCCTAAAAATGACTGAAAATTTGTTACCTTTTTTTTGTAGTTTTCATTTCAAAAGCCAAGAAACTTTCTGAAAAACAATTATTTCAAAAAGAAAAAAACAAAAACAAACATTCACAAAATAAAACAATGTTATTTCAAAGCTATCACTAGAAATGGACAAGGATTAGAAAAACTGAACAAAAGAAAAGATGAGATGATGAGGATGAGTGGGGGAATGTGAATTTTTCTAGTACATACACTGCCACCAGACATTTTTATTTTCTACTGACCATTAAACTTTGGTTTCTACCTGTTTCTGTGCATAAAATTCAAAACGTTCAGATTTAGAAACTGTACTGGTTTTTCTCCTCAATTTAGTAAAACTGAAAAAATTGTACTCTACAAAGAAAAATTGTTGTGCTACTGTCAAGTTTGAGTGACCGCCTGATTAAAGTTACAGAAGCTCACACTAACAATGAAAGTACCATTAACAAAGTAAAATTAATTGGATTTGAAATATGCACCTTTTCAACTTAAATATATCACAAGTTATCAGACGATAACCATAAGTTGAAAAGACTCAGAAAATATTAAAATCCATTAATATTCAATTTATTGAAACAGATCTTTCATTACTAGTATATAACCACATAAAAATAAACATTAGTGATGTCCAAAACACTTAACCTCTTTTTGTTGTTAAAGGAGCAAACATTATCTTTAACTGGAAATACTGATGACAGATGGCGCAACTGACAAATATATTTGCACTTACTGTATTTGTTTTGTTAGAAATTAAGCACAAAGCTACACAATGGGCTATCTGTGCTCTGCCCACCATGGGTATCAAAACCCAGTTTCTAGCATTGAAAGTCTGCAGACATACCACTGTGCCACTGGAAGGCACACGTTTCTGATAGCCATAAGCTTTTTTTTTTGTTTTACAAAGCTATTCACTGGGCTATTTGTGCTATAATCACTGCAGGAAAGCGAACTCCGGATATTACCGTTTTAACCCGTAAACTTACCCCTCACATAACGGGGGACGAGTAATAAATAAATGAGTATACACGATATCTATCATTGTACAACATTTCAATAAATATGAGATATTATTTTACTGCAAAAACAACAACTATATTAAATATAACTGGATGACTTAAGGACATGAATCGTCAATATTTGCCCTAATCATTAATATATATCTTCAAAAACGATCTTTATCTTTGAAATGGTTGAAGATAATTATTTTTACTCAAACCTTTAACAATCTGTCATTCAGGCTTAAGTTATAATGTTACTCAGTTATTTTAACAAAGAAATTATGTATATATATACACTAGCGAAAGTACACGCTTCCCTCGGGATATTAGGTTAATATATTCTAAAAAGGTGCTCTTGCGCACGCGTATGTGGATAAGTAATAATACCCAGGTGCACACCCCCAGGGTCCACTTAGTATGGGTGCAAAATATCAGGTTTCTAAGTTCTTTCCTAGTTATGGCGATCACACACACACACCCTTTTATTATTATTATTATATATATATGTATAAAGCACAGTTGTAAGACTGCCTGGTGTCTTCAAATCGCAAATCGTAAGGCTCTGGCTGGATCAATTTCGATAAAATTTAACATACGAATTCAGGTGAAGTCCCCAGGGATCGAATTTAAATGGAAGAGCAATCGAACCAACGTTTCAAGTTTCAATACTTACTATATGAAACCGAGGTTAAACAAAAGTATGACGTTAAGGCAGCACGGTACTTGCTGACTGCCAGTATTTAGTAGGCCTGAATAATGACTGACACACACACGCTGCGCCCATGAGATCAGCGAAATAAATGGCGCGCGATACGCAGATAGATCTCCCAGTGTTTGTGTGTGTGTGTGCTATTTTTTTAATACAAACCCAATACTGCATACATATAAACAGTATTCCGAGTCCAATGTTGCCAGATGTACGATAATGATCATATTTGTACCATAATGTTATTACATTTACAACATCTCGCCACCTTGTTATAGCTAGGTGTCAGCTAAATAATAATAGTTCTTGTGGTACAGGTTCCGTATTCTACCAGAACACACCTAATGAGCTCCGAGACAAACATCACAGACAACTATTCAGTGCAGATCATGTGGTTTATTGTCTCCGCGTGTTTATGTGTTATGAAAATGTTCAATTCTAACCACGGTGTCGTAAAATAACTGCGTTGGGGGACTGGCACATTTAACAATGCGTAAATGATTTCTAAAACTTTTAATTCAAATACTATACTAGTGTTAGACGAGAAGTTTTAACAGCAAAACAAAGACCAAATAATAATCACAGTAATAAATATAGTGTTTCCTGGAGAACAAAGAGTTAAACAAAACGTGACAGAGGGCGGTATCAAACAGTATAGCACAAAATTGTGATGATAAAGTACACAGAACAGGTCAACTTGATGTCACGGTTCGTACCAAAAATTAAAAAAAAAAAAAAAA